CACGAGAGAGAGAGAGAGAGAGAGAGAGAGAGAGAGAGAGAGAGAGAGAGAGAGAGTGAGAGGCGTAAATATAAATAAAATACAAATAGATACAGAGCCTAAAAAGATTATTGAAAAAATAAATAGTTAAAAAGATATAGAGATAATGTGTGTGAGAGAGAAAAAGATAAATGGTAGATAGATAGATAGATAGATAGATAGATAGATAGATAGATAGATAGATAGATAGATAGATAGATTGATACAGATATGCGATAGGTGTAAATATATAAGTATAATACAGATAGATACGGAGCTAAAAAGATAACTGTAAATATAAATAGATGACATAATTAAATACAGATAGATAGAGGCAAAATAACACAAATGGATAGATAGATAGATAGATAGATAGATAGATAGATAGATAGATAGATAGATAGATAGATAAATAACGAGAAATAGGGGAAGGGGGGTGCATATTCATAGAGAGAAGATGGATGAAAGGAAGGAAGGAAAGAAAGAAAGGTAAAATACAGATAGAACTATAAAAAAAAATAGATGTAAATATAAAAAATAGAGACAGATAGAGAATGTCTGAGAGATTGAGAAAATAGATTGAAAAAGAGAGAGAAAGAGTGGTATAGAGAGATAGTTGTAAATACATATTGATAAAAGACAGGTAGAACTATAAAAAAATTGCAGTAATTATAGACAAATAAAAAGATAGATAAAGATAGATAAAGAGAGAGTGAGAGATACATAGAAAGATAGATAGATAGATAGATAGATAGATAGATAGATAGATAGATAGATAGATAAAGGATAGATTCCCCACACACACCAAAACATCCTATTTCTACAGCCATAATCTAATGACACAATTTTCCTGATATCGTATAAATGAATTATTTCTCTGAGTAATATTTGCAGCTGTTCATTGGTGTTTTCCCTTATATACACCGCTTTCATAAAATATGGACTGGGGACATGAAATCATGGAGCAATCAGTCCAATGCTGTGTTATGCTGGCAGAGGAGGGCTGAGCTGCCTTTCCATTCTGCTGAATACAGTGGATACAAGCACAGATCGGAATATGCCCCACTTCTCCATGTTTGCATAATTGTGCTAATTAAACCGCTATGTGACTTCCAAGCGGAAATGTTTGACTACCCGTATTGCGAGATGTAGATCTTGCCGACCACATGCTATTGTGCTTTTCATTCTGAAACATAGGAATGTGGAAATAAATTGCCCTTTAGGTATATGCAAGGCACATGGCTCCATAAGGGGCACGGACTGCCATTGTGACATATATTAATATTAGACTGAACGCAGTATATAGGGCCTCCTCAGGACACTGCAAGGGATAAACATAAGAGGTCATCCCCCAGTGTGGGTTATGCTTATGTATACACTGTTCTGGGTAATCACTGCATTAGTCAGGGATCTAACTTTATATAAAATAAGGTCAGCATTTATATATTGTTCTTCTGCAGAGGGGTCTGTAAGGCACATTGGACAAGATAAGAAATACAAGTCAGTATAGCAGTCTAAGACAATTCTGCATCCCAGAGTCCCCATGTGCTGCTGAAACCCATCACAGCCCAGTCTGCTGTCTTCTTCAATACAACGGCACTGCATTACTTATTGATACCTGCTTGTAATAGTCTGCAGATACTGCAAAATAGGGCACAGAGGATGAAGACAGCAACAGACATTTCGTTTTAGCAGGCAAAAATCCCTCACTGTTTTCTAGAAAACGGATGTTTCTAATTTAATAAATTAATTGCATAACAATCCGTATACAGGTAAAGATAAAGTGGCAAAACTCGCAGACTGTCATGAGAGGAAGCAAATATTAACAAGTGGAGATGTATATGCTGCACAAATGTACAAAGTGAACGTGTTTGTATCCATTCACACAGTTGCTGTGAATTGCTTACCTGTCTGTTGTTGTTTTTTTTTAGTAAAGAACACTATAAATGACTGATCTTACCCATGTATTACATAAAGCAAGCAACTGTTATTGGCACTCTAAGAAAAATTACATATTTTTCAAATTGCAATAGCTGGTAGTTTAGAGTTGCAAAGGTAAACACGAACAAGATTTCTAAAATAAAAAATAATGGATTTCAGATTAATAGATATGCACATATTTTATTTCTGTCTAATTACAAGTATCAGCATGCTTTAGTAAAGACGTGTACCCCTAGTCTACGTCATAACAGAACCAAAAACAGGAGCAGACCAACACTAGCAGCAAGTATAAAATTAATCTGGAAACCGGAGAGACTTTACCAGGTCTGACATCTCCTTCCCACAATATATATTAAGACGTGTACCCCTAGTCTACGTCATAACAGAACCAAAAACAGGAACAGACCAACACTAGCAGCAAGTATAAAATTAATCTGTAAACCGGAGAGACTTTACCAGGTCTGGCATCTCCTTCCCACAATATATATTATGTTGTGCATAAAAAGGAAAGTAGTGTAGCCTTTTATTTCTACTCCTGCCCTGATACTAATGGGGTTCTTTTATAGCAAATTGTATTATTATCTATGTTGTTTGCCTTTGCTGACACGTTCTAGGTAAATGTCAGAACATGACTGCCTGCTCCGGGCAATGGTAACTTTCTCCCTTCCCTTATGACAAAGCAGCACCACAGTGTGTAAAAAAAATATTTTATCTATACTGGCCCAAAGCCCTCCAAATATTTTCATAAACACTGCTGATTGCTACTGAATAATAATAACAATGTAATCATTTGAGCGCATCCCCGGCAATGATATATCCAGTAATAAGCAGTGAAAGCAAAACTCATGTTCAGTTGAGGTGGCCAATGTAAGCAAAATGTTTTCCACTGCAAGTAAATTGAATTAGATTATCTTTTATGAACAATAATATACACATTGTGTTGTACAACCAACACAAAATGCAAAGATTTTAGAAATAATGAATGAGACATGGACATATACCATTTCCCGTACATATTGTTTCCTCGAAAAATTAAAACAATGCCATTTATACCACTGGTCTATCTATCTATCTATCTATCTATCTATCTATCTATCTATCTATCTATCTATCTATCTATCTATCTATCTATCTATCTATCTATCTATCTATCTATCTATCTATTTTTTTTACTGTGGACTACATGTGGAAGATGTATACACTCAGATGCTATAGCTGGGTTTGTACTAGCGGTGGCTGTGTAGATATGAAGGAAGCACA